TGATTATTACAAATGTTTTCACTTCGGGAAGTTCACCTGCCGGCCTGACACTATGTAATTTTTCGGCTACGCTGTATGGCCTGGGGCCATTTCCAGTTAACTTTGATTAACCGAAATATTTCCTGTAGTATAATGTTTTCTTACTCGATTTGGCAATACCGCAATAATAGAAACTAGAAACATTATTTGTCATTGAAAATAATTTACTGTATTGGTTTTTCTAACAAACTTAAAAAAAATGAAAAATAAAATGTAACCGCTTATGAACAAATTTGGTATGGTTTATATTGCTCTATTAATCGAATTAAATTACGGGTTTTGAGCTTACATTAAATTGTAATTAGATGAAACAAAATGGATTCTATGTATTTTGAGGTGATCTTTTCGAAAAAACGCAGAACAAAATGTAGCAGTTTTTCGAAAGTGCCGAATTTTTAGATTTTGTCAATTTTTCAATTTTGCGCAGGCGCATGTCGGAAATAAATCAATATTTTTAAAATGCAGTTTACGACATTTGAAAGCTTAGGAAAAATGCTAATTTTTATGTCTCCTGAGAAATTTGATGATTTGATGCACCGTTCTCGCGGTATGGACGATTGAAATTTGTTTAGTATTTTGAGGCGACGAAGGTCGAAAAATTGAATTTGTTAAATGTTCAAACACTAAATTCTTCATAACATTGGTAAAAATTAAGATATTTAAAAAAACAAAAAAGCGTTTTGAACTCAAGGGATGTGACTAGTGATTTCCAGAAGGGGGCAAGAGAAATCCCAAAATTGGGCATAGGGCGGAAGGGCAAAATGTATTGCGGTCCTAATTTCATTGTTTGCCTATAACGGCCAAACTATTTGAATTTTTTTAATACCACTTACAAAGCTTACTCTTAAATGTGAAGTCTTATGTGTGTGTGAATTTCACCTACATCGGATTATAATTGGCTAAGATATAAAACAATTAAATAAATTTTTTTCTTTAAAAAAAAAAATAATTTTTTTTTCTGTGGCACAAAAATGCCAAAAATGCGCCCAATCGCTCAAAACTTTTTTTTTGAGAACTCTATTGTGTTTAGAATACGATTACATTACGAAAAATTCTGCAAATATATTTTATCTATTTTTTTGACCACTGTTCATTGAGTGACGACCAAAAAACACGGTTTTTGAGAAAAGTTGCCTAAAATTGACAATTTTTAGTTTTTTGGTCTGAAAATTAAGCAAACCCAAATTTCATGTCTTCTTAATGTATATACAAAGTTTAAAGTGTGTATGTTTCTTCTAAGTTGTAGAATTCTCCCGACAAAAGTCCCATTACACGCGCTCCGCGGGATCCAAAACTCATGTATACACTACATTACTGTAATTTGATTTTTTTGCGATTTCCAGTTTTAAATTTCTTACATATATAAATTTATTAGGCTTAAAATTTATAAAATTTTATTTTACTGACTTGTTATAAGACGTTTCTTGAGTTTTGTTCAAAATATAGAATTACCGCCAAATTAGCCGCACGTCGCATCAAGGATAGTAATGGTCTCGGCGTTCGCTATCTGACAAGTTTTAACTTCAAACGGTCATATTTTACAAATTGAATCGCTTGATAGTGTTTATCGGCATAGATTTTTAATAACCGTTTTCAGCAAGCTCTGTGTGCACGTGGCTTTTCGAACTTCTTCAGCAATTTATTGATTAAGTACGTTCCTAAATTAAGAAAATTCTATCACAGTGCTATAATTTTTTGTTTCCAGGTAGCAATGGCTAGCCTGTGTTTATTATGTCATCAGACACTTGCAGAGGGTGAACTATTGCAGATTTGCAATGCGACCTATGACATTCGAAATATAACCGAAAACTACGCATTTTTTGTGCTTAGAAAATTGCTCGTAAAAACGAGTGGTTTTTTCTTAAATCCAACATTTTCCCTTTTTTTTTGAGAAAAAACAAGCACACTGTCGATTTTTTCCGTAATTTGGGCACTTTACAGACTGAAAATATATTAGAATCAGTAAGTTTAATGAGAAACAAGCTTACTTTCTCTCCCAATTGTCAGAAAATTCGAGTAGCTTCAATTCTCGCGAGAATTACCGATCTTTGCACACGCGCGCTCAGAAAACAGTGGATGCTAGAAAAAATGTATATGCCACAGTTTTTCGTGCCTTTTTTTTTTCTCTATCATCTAATGGAAACAGTTTTCTATTCAGAAATAGTATATTACATTACGAGTGTGGAAAGTGACATTTTTCACACGAGTGGAAAATATAGTCGCACGAGGCGCAAGCCGAGTGCGACTATCACACGAGTGTGGAAAATCACTTTTCACACAAGTGATGTACAATATTTTTCCTACGACCACAAAATAATGTCATCAAAAAAATGTAAAACCAAGGTTATTATTACTATAATAATTAAAATGTATTTAAAAAAATAATCAACAATAATCGTATTTATTCAATTTTCATATTTTCTAAACAAAAAAAACTAAAAAAAATAAAAAAAAAAATAAAAAAAAATAAAAAAAAACAAAAAAAAAATTCTGCCCCGACAGGATTTGAACCATAGATTGAACGCGGTCGAAAAATGGCAAAATTGATAAGTTCGACGTCCTAACCAGCTGAGCTAACAGCCCTTGTGTCAATTGAATGATCTAATCGGTTATGTATTTAACCAAAATAAAGAGCAAACATTATTTTAAAATTATTTTAATAATAATTGTTAAAGATAAATATCTAGGATCTAATTTACAACAATTTCAATAATTTAACAATCATATCGATTTTAGTATTAATATGGATATTACATAGATCAAAATAGAAATTGGCTTACAAAATAATATCAAAAAAATGTAAAACCAAGGTTATTATTACTATATTAATTAAAATGTATTTAAAAAAATAATCAACAATAATCGTATTTATTCAATTTTCATATTTTCTAAACAAAAAAAACTAATAAAAAATAAAAAAAAAAACAAAAAAAAAATTCGGCTCCGCCAAGATTTGAACCATAGATTGAACGCGGTCAAAAAATGGCAAAGTTGATAAGTTCGACGTCTAAACCAACTGAGCTAATGGGCCTTACGTCAATTGAATGATCTAATCGGTTATGTATTTACCCAAATTAAAGAGCAAACATAATCTTAGTTATTTTAAAATTATTTTAATAATAATTGTTAAAGATAAATATCTAGGATCTAATTTAAAACAATTTCAATAATTTAACAATCATATCGATTTTAGTATTAATATGGACATTACATAGATCAAAATAGAAATTAGGCGTTTGACATTTTTTGACAACTACTGCGGAAAGTAACATATTCTCACTTGGGTGGAAAGTAAATTCTTAGTCATACGCGTATGATATAGGACACTTTCCATAGGACTATATAGTGTGATATGTGTCACTTTCCTAAGTGGTCGTAGGAAAAATAGTTTTCGAGTTAATTAAGGAAAAGTACGATAAATTAAGAAAAAATTGTTTTGCAATTTTTTTTAAAAAGTTCGGAACGTAACTAGAAAATACGTATTTTTGTCATGCATATGTTTTCTTGTAAATAACTAAAAACCAGATATTAGAGAACAAAAAGCAAGCTTATCACCAAGTTGGAAGTTACACTCAGGCTTAGGATTAATTTCCTAACATTTTTAAAGTATACCTTTTTGTGTATTTTTTTGTGCTTTTTTTGACGGCGACGTTAGATTTTTCAAATATATTTTTTTTGTTAGATGTTTTCGGAAAACCCGGAAAAAATCATATGTGAAAAAAATTGAAAAAAAAACTACGCCTTCCGGTTTCCTGCGAATTCCCGAAAAATTATGGCAGATTTCACCACGGGACTTATTTTATTTGAGAGCCAACAAAAAAATACGCAACTTCTCTCATGGGCACATATGTCTAACATTTAAAATTTCGCCACAAATTCATCGCAAATTTCATGTCCATGGTTCTGATCAAAAAAACGAAAAAAACGACTTTTTGGTAAAAGCACTTCTGGCGGCGAGAACTTCGCCATTAAAACTACCTGTGCAATGAATTTCCGAACTGTTTTTGCCTCCTCTTTCGAATGATGCATTTATTTTCACCATCAGAATGATACTTGCCCAGATAATTAGCATTTTTGCAATGAAAAATTCCGGAAAACCCGGTTTTTCCTAATTTAAAAAAAATTGAAAAACTGCTACATCTCTTTTTCCTTTTTTTCGGAAAGATCACATCAAAATACACAAGGTCCTTTTTGTTTCATCCAATTACAAATTAATGTAAGCTCGAAGGGGCCTTTTTCCGTTATTTAATTGGACTATATGAATTGTCTAATACTGATATTTAGCCATTTCTACAACAAGAAATTAGTGAAAATGATTAATTTCACATTTTTTTATGGTGGAGACCCGACAACAAACTTTAAGGATTTTCAAATTGTCTAGAAACTTTCTGTAAAATTTCAATAATAACATCCGCCGTTCGAGTGTCGGCGTATATTACCCACTATTTTGTTGAATAGGTACTTATAAAAACTTCTTAAATATCAAAATATACAAATTTTTAACAAATTGACAAATTCAAAATTATTTAGATAATTGCCACTTGACATAACAACATGATGTAATTAATCTACGACGTGCCAAAATCTAGTAACTTTTTGTTTCTTTCATCCATTTTACATTTAAACAATAAAGAAAGTGAATGGATATTTACGAGACTTTAGTTTCTTGCGTGCATGTGTCGTTTTATGATGCTTTATAAATAATCTGTAGACCGCATTAATTGTGTCTTATCACTGAGATCAAAAATATAAATTCAAATCAAATTTATCATCAAAAAAAAAAAAAAAATGTTACGTAACCGACATTATGACGAAATCAACCCTCAATACATCGAGGCGTCGAGAGTTCAATAGAATAAAATTCGGAAAGATCTAAAGAAAAGCAAGAAGTTGTTATTAAATTAGTGCTCTCTAGGGAGCCAGAACTACTCCATCGTGGCATGGCGACCTAATGTATATAC